TAGAGTATACAATGTGATGAAGAAAAAGGAAACGTACAGCTTAGAAGAAAATGATCTGTGTTGAACTTGTATACTGCAATTTACTAGTGATTTGCATCTCTGAAGTTCAGTCCTCTCATCTGTAAAGATAGTAAACATATTGTGGTTTGTTGTAGGGTGACCAACCATTCTATTGGGTTGTTGGAAAAGTCATGATGTATTTTTTCTATGTTTTTTGTTGCAAAAATGTGTCATGACTTTTCCGACAATCCAATATTTGCTCGATTCTAAGGAGTTTCCTTGGGTTGAGGGGTTTTCAATGCTGAAACTGGGAGAGTCCCAGGCAAGCAAGACGCCCTATATGTTGTGAACATCATCAGTGACAGCAAGTGTAACAATAAGTGTCTAAAACTTTGCTCACTAAACATTAAATTTCTTCCTACAAAAACTGATGTCTCTGTATAGACTGCCAGGCTAACCCGTGCTAGGCACTTCTGCCAGCCATGTTATCAGTGTTACTGTTCTGATCTAACTGAAAACAATACCACGTGGGAGCAGAGACAGAGCTTTCAATGCCACTGTCCACACAGGTTCCTCCTAGGCTGGATGTGAGGGGGGAATTCAGTTTCCATTGGGCATACTGTGATTTATTTGGGCTTCTATCCAAGTCAGTACATCTGAAGTGACAGGATTATTTTAAACGGTCGCTAAGACAGAGTACAGAAAGTCTCTGTTTAGTCCTTGGGTCATTTTTCAAAACATTTCCACTCTAAGTAACAACACCAACTGATACCATTGACAAGGAAGAAAGAACTGTTTTTTCTTTTGTGCTGTTCGGCCATGATTATGCATTCCAGTCCACTAATCTTCTTTTTATCATGTTTAACCAAGTGGGACAACATATTCTACAGTTCAATTTAGCTATGTGTGTAAAAGTGATGCATTTTTATGAAACTAAATCCTTCATGTCCAATACCTGCGACCCTCCAGAGATGTGTCCTGTCACTCACCTTCCCTTAGCAATGTTGCCTGCATCCTGTGTGTTTTTGCTGTCATATCTCCTCCCCTCACTGCATTTTCTATCAACCAAGGTGCAGCAGGAGAGAGATCCTGTGTCACTAACACCCTGGGTTCCTTACCTCATTTGCTAATTCCTGACAAGAGCAAGTCTTGAGGGCAGCCTGGTGAACGGACAGAATGGAAAAACAAGTTTTGTGTTTCAATTTCATTAGGCAAATGCTCATTGACTATTCATTATTTGGAAAGATTAGCGCTCAATGCTATCAAACACTAAAAATTGAATAAAACACAACCCCTGCCATTATGAATCTCAGGAAAGACAAGCATGAAAACAATGAAGCTACAAAGCAGGTTGTCAGGCATAGCGGATGAGAAGCACGTGGGGTTCGGAAAGATGGCGTCACGTCTCTGCAGGGAGGGAGAAGCAGGAGAGGCTTTCCAAAGGGGACAAGCATCCCACGCCTGCACGGTCCACAGGACTAAGGCCAAAGATGGGGGAAACAGCATGCTGGTGGCATACCAGTGGGAAGAGATTTGAGTGCGCTCACAGAAGAAACGTTGCACTTTTAACAAAGTTTGTCAACATCAGGGAAAGTAAGTAATGTTAAAAATAAGGCTGCATCAGAACGTAGGAAGCTCTGATGACAGCATTAATAAGTTTACCATTATTCTGGTGGCATTGGGAAGGTAATGCAAGGTTTTAAACAGGAGGACGACATGGCCAGTCTTTGCTTTTAGAAGAGGAACCAGGAAAAACAATCACTTTTTTTTTTTTTCAGGGAGAGAGAGAAATTAGAAAGAGAGGAGATACAATGAGCCAGCGAGCAGATTGGAAAGTATTACTAAAATCAGGGGAGTGGTGAAGAGCTAGCCACTGAGGGTATGGAGATGAGATGGAGAAACCCCTGGAAATCCAATCAATAAGCCATGCATGTGTGTGTGTGTGTGTGTGTGTGTGTGTGTGTGTGTGTGTGTGTGTCTGTGTGTGTGTTTCATAATATTATTGGGGGAGAAAAGAAGATGGATGTATTCATTCACTCAACAAACATATATTTAAGTGTCTGTGATGTGCTAGATATACAAAATGTAGGCATCGAACATTTAGTCCCTTCTTGCCTTAAGAAGAGAACAAGTATAATAAGCAATTCCAACCCAATAGGATTACAGCTAAGACTGCAACAAGCACCTAGACAAGTGAGTTGATGAACATGGAAGAGCTGGAGAGGAAAGGAAGCATCAACCAAGAATATACCAGAAACTTTCAAGTGTGCCACAAGGCAGCAAAGGCAGGTAGCTCAGAGGCCAACTGGCCACCCGCCCCTCCGCCAGAGTCCCTCCCAACCCCTTCCTTCCTCAATGACTTTTATTAATAGCACCTAGGTTGCTTGCTTCAGAGAATATAGAACCATTGAAAATTGTTGTTTGCTTATTAGAATGTGCACTTCATCACATCCTGTTCACCATTATCACAATAAACACTTGATGAATGAGTGAATGAATGAAGTCATTACTGTTCACCCCGGTTCATCCCCTTCTCAGAATCTCTCTCTGCTACACACACACACACACACACACACACACACACACACACACACACACCCTTCCCCTTCCCCAGCAGCCTTTTTTCTTAAAGGAGAAGGAGGTAGAGGGGGTAGGAGAGATAGCAGATGCATTGGGCAGTTGGCTGCCTGGAATACGAAAGCTTTGTTCATGTGGGGGGCAGACGGCCAGTTCCCACAAATTCTTAAATGAACTGCTCTAGCTTTCTTCTCCAACAGTCCCACAACTACTTCTCCTCCTTTGTGTAAGAACAGTGCTCAAAAAAAAACCAAACATGTATGTGAGTACTAAGACAGCTTGACCAACAACTGGGTTATTAATGTTAGAGAAGTCCTTCTAACATCAGAATTATTCAGGGCAAACACGATTCAGAAGGAGACGCCATGCTCACCTGTGATAAAGAATGACACTGAGAGTGGCAATTAGAATAACAAACAGCAACAATAAAGCTGCCCCTCCGGCAATGGAGTGGATATATTGGTTATCGGTTTCACCTAGGAGAAAAAAAAAAATATAGCAGGAATTAGGAATTCAGCTAAAGCCAGAGAAAAAAAAGGAAGGTGAGGAAAAGAGAAAAGGGTCCATCAATCATCAGAGAGGAACAATTTAAAACAAACAAGGAATCCAATAAAAAAAAAATAGGATGAGATAAAGGGAAAAGATACTTTTTCTTTTAGAGTCTTCTAATTATTTCTGACTCCTCACAGATTTTTATTAATTCCTTGATTCCTAAGATTGGGTTTGACACCTGAAGAAGAACAAGAATAGAAAGAGCATATGCTGGAGATGGGTATCACTTCATTTTAACGAGTGCCTGGTGACATACATAAAATCTTTGTTAAAAAAAGATAACCACGAAAAAAGTATGTAAATAAAGTCTGATATAGTAAGTACATTCAACACACAACAGCATGTAACTTTGATGTTTACAAGCAGACTTCTGTTTAGGAAATATTTTCTGCTCAGTTGGGGTTAATGATAAAAAATAACCAGGAAAAAAGTGTTACTCCAGCTCCGTGCTTATGTGGAAAGTACCATGGTCCAGGAATCTGAAATTTGCATCCTGGTTCTTTCGCTATTTAGCTGTTTGACCTCCAGCAGATTCCTGAACCTTCTCTGCTTGCCTTTCTTGACCTGTCAACTGATGAAGACAACAACAGTTCTAATGGCATCACAGAATTGTGGTAAGAATCTAACAAGGCAGTATTCAAAAGAGCAATGAACTCCTGGAGAAACGTCACCTCTGGAACTTGACCCCAGTGAGGTCAGAGGCCATTTCATTTTTAAAATCCCCTCCTGCCCATGGCCCTCCTCACCCACTGCTACCCACAGAGCTCCCTTTGAGAAGAAACTCCCTCAATATGTGCTGGTGACTGAAATGGGATTTAATGGAAACCCAGGAGCTGCCTGGATTGCCTCTCTCATTGGGACAGAAAATGTGCCAGCCTCCCGTCTTGCAGGAAGTGGGCAGTCCAAGCCTCAGAACAGCACAGCTTCCCTCCATCTTGAAATGAAAGTTCCAGTGCTTGTACTGTGGTTCCCAAGCTGCCTGGAATCCTACAGCAACCTGAAAATCACACTTTTCACTGGATTTTTGGCACTCTTTTTTTTTTTCATTTTAATTTGTATTTTATTGATTATTCTTTCGCTTGATATCCTTTATATAGGTTTTGTATGCCTAAAGGGAAAATACCAACTAGGAGAAACCTGTTTCTCTACTCACAACACTTCTGACACTAAGTTTCCCCAAGTTTGCACAGACCTCACAGGGCAAGGGCTCAGCCCCCTCCATTTAGACTTTAATCACAAGTCCAGGGTTCTTGAACTTCTGACCAGCCCGAAATAAATCAGGAAACACTTTCCTTACTATTACTGATATATTATAAAAGATACAACTCAGGAACAGCCAACTGGAAGTGATGCCTAAGGCAAGTTAATGTGGGGTAGGGGTAAACACAGAGCTTCCATGCCCTCTGGGGATGTGCCAGCCTCCCAATACCTCCTATGCCCAGCAACCTGGGAGTTCTCTGAACCTTATCATTTAGGGTTTTCATGGAGTTCCATTACCTAGCATGATTGATTAAATCATTTGCCATTGGCGGTTAGTTCAATCCCCAGTCCCTCTCCCCTCCCCAAGGTCAGAGGATGGGGCTGAAAATTCCAAACCTCTAACCACGTGGTTGATTCCTCTGGCAACCAGCCCCCATCTTGAATCTTTCAGCCACTAGTCACCATATTAACTTACAAAAAGATGCTGCACTCTGGATATGTGAGGGTATTAGAAGCTCTTGTGTCAGGAACTAGGGACAAGGACCAAATATTATAGCAAAGAGTATCCTAGCATCCCTATCACTGAGGAAATGACAAGGGATTAGGAGCTCTGTAAAAGGACCCGGGGTCCAAGACCAAACAGATACTTCCTTATTATTTCACAGTGCCTGATTTAAGAAGCATACATTGTTTTGAAAGATCCTGGGCGATTTAAAAACACACACGAAACAAGCTTTTTTCTCTAAGAAATAGGGTAAAGCCATGGGAATCAAGTAGAGGTCAATCACCCTTCTGAGATGGTGCAATCTGGAGTGCCCCAGCCTACAGCCAGTCCTCTCCCTGCCCCACTCTGCTGCGTAACAGTGAACCTGGTACTTAGAGCCAGGCTGGTGCAAACACACAACTCGCTGGGTGCGTGCGGCTGAAAACAAACAGGAAAAAGGAGACGCAAACGGGTATGGATGCTTCAGGGAGCTAATCAGCAGTCACAACGATCGCTTTTTCCTAAGTCCTGCTAATAGATCTTAGGCTGAGTGATGGCAGCCCTCCAGCTCCTCTCTTAAAGAAAGAAGGATCGCTGACTCTTATCCGCAGCCACCTTCTTGCTGATTATTTTATTTTCACTCCAACCCCAATGCTGTGTTGATTCATAAGAGGACAAAAGTGTCATGAACCAAAGCGCCATTCTTTTCCCTCCCATCAAAGAAGATAAATACAGTTAAAACAATTTGTCAGTGAGATATATAAATGAATAATTTACTCCAGGACTGAGACCCTCCAGGCAACGTTTCTGCCAGTGACGAGTATTTATGGTTCAGTTATAAACCCTTAGAAAGGCTCAGGATAGAAGTGCTGCTGGGCCCTTCCCTCAGAGCCAGCAGGGCAAGAGCAGGCATTCTGTCTATTGTTCATCCTTTATTAGAGTTTGGGGTGGGGGTTAGGGAGTGAGCAAACAGTGGGGCTAGGCTAGTGAGTGAAGTCACTCAGAACCAAAATATCTGAACTAGAAACCATGCTAGGAAAAACTCACCTAACCCTCCAACCAGCCCTAGGTAGGTCATGGTAGACACCAGCTAAAGTTATTCTTCCTTTTTTACCTCATTAAAAACAGAAGTAGAAGTATCAGATTTCATTCTATGTACACAGGGAATATGCACAGTGTGTGACTTCCCACAGGGTAGAGACGTGAGCGTGATCAGGTCAATTCCAAGTTTTGACTTAACATGTAACACAAATATCCAAGCTTCATCCCACATTAGAGACTGATTTGCTGAAAAAGACAGAGATTGAGGAGAGATATCTTGGAGCCTAGTCCTGTCTGCTGGAAGATCTCATCAAGAGATATTTGCTTTTCCTGATACTTTTTTTTCTGGTAACTGAAAAATGATGATAAAATCAACCTCAAGGGGGGCTATGGAGCTTGGATAAAACATATAGAAGTGTTTCATGTATTTAATCACCACGTAATATATACATTATTAAAAGACTATTTATATTTTATATACACCCATTCAAAATCAGAGTTAAAGAAATAACTCGTTTCCATTCTTTTCATGTTGAGATTTCATATTGAACTAGGCATGTGTCACGGAGGCTGCTTGCTCCTGAAAGCCTGCTCACCTTCCTGGGAAAAGGCAGCGAGCGGTCATGTGAATAGGCACATATTAAATGCATGGAGCTTTGGAGGACCATGGGAAACACTGGCCGCCTGAAGTTGGTTGAATTTTCCTGTATGCCTGAGATATGCATCCAGTGGATATTGGTATGGTAATATTATTCCAAAGGTCAACTTCCTTTGTGCAAATCAATTTTATACTCTTTGTATTTCAGAAACCTTTCCCTGTTTTATAGCAAGAAGGTCCTAGGGAATAAATTATGTTCAGAGAATTAAAGGACCATGACCTCAACCTTTAATATTTCTTCTGAGTGAATAGCAACTACCAGCCCTCAAAAATGAAATTATTATCAGACATCACCTGAGAAACAGAAGGCACAGAGAATCTAAATAAGTGTCCTGTAAGCAAGCCAGTGAGGGAGGCGAGTGTCCAACCCAGTGTTCAAATTTTGTTACAGTGGGTTTGCCTCTCTTGATGGGAAATAGTTTCTCAAATGACTTAAAGATTTTACATCAGTTGAGAAACATAGTCTAAGAGAGGCTCTAAAGTTTACTTACTCAATATAGGATGACTGTATTAGCTATGTGATGGTGTCATTATGTGCATGATGCCCTCTGGCGGGCCATTGCTCTGTAGCGGTTGGTGAAGGCAAAGGTATCTAAGTGAGCATATGAAGCATAGGGATGGCAGCCATCTTTGATCTGGTACACTTGTTGGGAACATCTTCAAGGCTGACTCCACTATATTAGATGTCTCCTTTTTTTACCCAAATATTTCTTAATCTTAAGTTACATCTCTTCAGCATGTACCTCAATTTTCACACACACATATTATTTAAAGGGGACTGTATTTATGCAGAAGTCAGATTGCCAAGACTGCACATGTCTCGCTCCCTTCCTTAGTGAATTTGTGTGCAGAAGAGCGAAGGCAGCAGACCTGAGGCTGCTACCTTTAGAAAGGCCTGCACGCAAGGGTGGCCCTGGCCTGGGGTGTGGGACCGCGGGTTTTGGGTGCATTTCCACCATTCCCCTAGCTGTTAGGGTGGTTTATTGTGCCTCAACTGTTTGTATAAACAATGCAGTTTAGGCTGAACCTGCTTTCCTCCTGGGGCTCTGCCATCCTATGACTTTGCCCCATGTGCCTTTTCCCTTTCCTGATTTTGCTTTGCATCTTTTTGCTGTAATAAATCAAAGCTATCCTTTTGGAGTGTAGTGAAGGGGGAGAATGCCCCCGTGTCCCAATCCTGTGGGAAGATAGGAGCCTAACTTCAGGGGGTGCCTGGCTCCAAAGTACAAAACTACGTCCTGCAGCAAAGATGGAAGAAGTTCATTTTTCGTTTTTGGATAAAGCCAATTAGCTAACACTGACAGTCACCCCCATTACCAGGTGAATGGAGGATGAATTCTGTGTGACAAATGGTGCTACCAGGTCCTCTACTTGAGGACTACTTATTGTTTACCCTGAGAATGTGCATGTGATGGCTTCTGTCTGCTGGGCTCTATACAAGGTAAGGTTCTTTCTGTCTCCGCAGTCTCTTAGCAGATTGTCTGTGATCCATGTCATGATTCTTGGTTTAACGCTTATTCAATAATAAAATTGTTTTCTCT